CTTGAACTTGTGGAAGAAGGATTAACAAATTACATTGATGAATATCGACTCTTTAAGCAAGAAATAACATTACGAGAAACTCACATTAAAGAGAAAGATAACAGAGAAATCTATTTTTAGTTAACCAAATCAGTTTTAGGGACATATAACGAACATGAATGGCTTAAAATCCTTACTAAAATCATTCAAGACAATAAATCAAAAAACATAGGAATAGGCATAGACGACGACACGATAATTGAACGTGTGACTATATTACTAATGTTAACTTTCGTCAGCACAAAGATAAAAGATAAAACAATCACATTTGGACGTAACAAAAGGCAAAAGTACATACCTGAACAAAAGAAAACCATATTGAGAATCATAACGACACCATCGGACATTTCAGTATAACCAAAACTTTAAAGCATATCCAACAAAATTACGACTGAACCAATTTAGAACAAGACATCACGGATCATGTAAAACGATGCAAGACCTGTCAACAACATAAGCTAGAATTAGACCAAAAAAAACCGTCATTATGACAGATACACCCTTGGAACCTAAAGTAATGCCGATAAAGTAGCATTAGACATTATCGGACCACTTCCTAAAATCAAAAGAGGAAATCAATATATACTTTCAATTCAAGACCAATTAATACAACTAAATACTTAGTATTAATACCACAAAAAGACAAAAGCGGAAACTATAATACCTCAGTTAATGGATCACTGTCTATATATTTTCAGCACCAAAAACTATCCTAACGAACAATGGATCGAATTTTGTTTGCCAATTGATGGAACTGTCTGAAAACGAACCACCGCTGAACCACCGCCTTCTATCCTGAATCCAATGGTTTCGTTAGAACGAGCACACGATGTAATCAAAAATTTAATTTGAACATGCACCGCCGAACGACAACATTAATGGGACCAAAATTTAAAAATTATTAGCATGGGATACAATACAGTAATGCACGTAAAGTAACTGAAAAAGCAAAGTTAAAAAGTAAAATGACACAGGACAGTAGAATCGCGAGGAGTCAGACTATCATTAACCCAGAAGACAAAATAATGGTGCACAACGACCACAAAGCGAATAAATTAAACACTGAAAGGTTAGGATCAGCGACAATATTGACAGCCTCACTCCCAAATTATACCATAAAATTTGATCGCAGTAAAAGGATTATAAAAATACACATAAAACCATTAGGCAATAACTCTATATTCTTTGAGATCATAAAAGAATGTTATTTCTATAAGGATCAGGTTACAATTGACAAATGTTATAGACATTAATGAATTGCTTAGGCAACCATCGATAATAAAAGCGAGTATAGAAAAATTCATAGCTTAATGGCTTCATAAAAATCAAGAAAATGATTTTAATTGTACTAATTAAAATTAACATTACACACACGATCAAAACGAGAACTCTTAAATATAATTGGATCAGTGTCTAAAAGTTTATTTGGAACTTTAAACGAGAGTGACTTGACTGATTCGATTCTAATAACAATAATTATAGAAAAATAATTATAGCAAATCAATCGGCTCTTATTAAACAAGTTCTGGATGACGAGAAATTGCAGACTGTAGGTATAATCAACAATTTGCAAGACTTAACCAACACTGCATAAAAACGAAATACTGGCATCTCTCCTCATTCATACTATTCCTAATATCCGAATTACGCGTAAACATAAACGAAATAATCAAAACTATAATCTTAGGAAAACGCGGAATTATAAACCCTCAATTTGTCAAAGTAAATCAATTTCTTCTATATACTATACTAAAACAGATTACTGATAAGAATTTTCTTACGAACTATATCACGCCAGAACCAGCAAACTTCCAAACATTACTAGACATCTTAAAAATCTCAGTCCGAAACAACAAATTGTTATATTGTATTAGAGTACCACTTTTAGAAGATACAGATTGGAAAATTATCAAAATTTATCCTATACCGAGTGACAAAATTTTCATGGTCCCGGTAATTGAAAACCCAAAGTTTTCAGTGAAGACCAACCTCCCAGTTGACAAGGACTATATGAACAAATATTGTAAAAAGACTACAGATTTACAAGTCTACACATCCATCTTATAGCAAAACAGGTAGGAAAGAGTGCGAATTAGAATTAATGGACCATTCCACCTCACCAAAAAACTGTAACTATGTCATCTTTAAAATTAATGTGTTAACGTTCATACCTCTTGAAACTGAAAATAATTATCTTGTTATTCCCGAACACGAAGTATAGTTAGAGGCCTTATATTATATATTATATAACAAGTAGGACACTAACAATTAAAGAACCAAACCAATTGTCAAGCGACGAGAATTGTACACTGGCATATAGCAACAATCAAATGAAAATAGGGTCAAACCACACCGCGAGATACGAGACAAAGAAATCGGTAACTTTGACGATGACACCTTAGCCGAACTCAACTTGATTAATGAACAGTTCTCTCAACTGCTCCTAAGATGAATCCAAATTTTAATACTTACAAGATGTCATTACAACAAATTAATTCACAAATCAATCAATCAATAAAGACAGAACGACCAATCAGAACTTTAAGGGAAACAGACTATCCATATTACAATCATTAGGCTACACCTCTATAGGCACAGTCATACTTTATATACTCTACAAATGTAAATGTTATCAATCTCTATCGAAATGCGTACCACACACAATATTTATAAATATTTTAAGCTCTGCAGCCAATATAATAGTAAACCAACATCCTGATCCACAATTAAACGCACCAGCCCCTACTACTAACAAATGTGACCAGCTACGTTTCACGCCATCTGAATTCGAGGACCTAGTAGATAAAATCTATAAAACCTACTCGAAGATCAGTCCGTTTCGTTTCGAGATGAAACATAGTCTAAGAATGGAGGAATGTCACCAGTCAGCAGTTAAAAACTTTTTCCCACCGATACGATGCAGACTTCCAGCCATTCTCCGAATTCTTAATCTCATATCACCTCACCTATTCTCAAAATTAGCAGTCAATAGATTCAGGGACCTAGGTCCGTGCATACGGTCCCCGTAATATTATAAAGAAAACCTAAATAAAGTCTCAGTATTGGACTGTAACTCGAACTTCTTTCATTATTACTTTGAATCGTTCTGGAATTGGTGTGAATTGTATTAATAAAGTTTTATTTCTTTTAAAGAAATCCTTTTAAAGAATTCCAATCATTTTTTTTTCTTTTTCTTTTCATAGAACATAACAGTTTGTTTGAATCGTATTGTGAAGTGATCACACGTGAAATTTACCCATTTAGTCTCATATTTTATTAAATCTACCTCCGTCAACGTGACAGAGTCACGAAGAACACTATTTTTCTATATTATAACGATCTAATATTATTGATCGATCCTAAAAAATTACCGACTTCCGGTACGAGACTTACATATGCCACTTCAAACTTTATGACATTCGCCGTATCAATATTTTATATAAATTTTATGCTTTAAAATTATTCTACCTAGCGTAGCGATCACGTAAAATACAAATTTTCAATATATTATTATTTATTTAATATTAATTATCGATCATCAGAGTTGTGGACCTTCAGTACGAGGTTTACATATGGCCATTGAAATGATATGATGTATACCGTATGCATATTTTACATCGATTTTATGTTTTTAAATTATTCTACGTAACGCAGCGATCATGAAAAACGCAAATTTTCAATATATTATAACGATCTAATATTATTTATCGAAGAATACTGACCCCCAGTATAAGATGATGTTTTATATGGCATGCATCGATTCAACATATTATAAAGATTTTATGCGCTTAAACTATTTTTATATAGAATAATGATAACGCACAATGTAACGTATATAAAGTATAAATGGAGGTCTATAGAAGATATATCGAATCAATATATTAAATTATTATAATAATACATAATAATTTATCGAATCAATAGTATATAACGATCTTATACGCTTAAACAATTCTATGTTAACGTACAACGTACAACTTTTCAATATAACGAGACAGTATAATATGTTGATCGCGAACCTCCCGTATAAGATGCGTTTCATTGAAGCTATATCGAATTAATTTATTATAACGATTTTATGCGCTTAAACTATTCCATGTAACGTAACGATAACATGCAATATTTCAATATAATATAACGATCCAGTATAATTAATCGATCCTCCGATATTCCATAAGATAAGGTTTGTATAAGCTATATCGAGTCAATATATAATTATAATGATTTTATGCGTTTAAGCTGTTCAGTGCGACGTAACGATAACGT